TGTGTGTGTGACTCATATTAAATCTTTGAAGCCAGAATAGAGATGGCAGTCCTTTAAGGCAGTCCAGACAAGCATAAACCATGAGTATTAACATTACATTTTTTGTAAGGTTTCAGTAACAGAATCCTGCAAGTCTGAAAGCATCTCTCCTCTCTTCTCCTTTACTTTTATTTTCTAGAAAAATAGGGAGGGCCCTTCTGAGACGCTTCCCATGCTCCTTTTCCTTTTGTGGGCTGAGATACCTTTTGCATGACAGTTGTCTAGTCTGCAGCTCTTCCTCCTGTCTCCCAAGGCCATTCCCATATACCATTACAAGAGCTGAATGAGAATTGGGATCACCGGTTGATGGAAGTGTATAGATTTCATAGCTGTTTTCCCTTGCACGTGATCCGATGTAGAGGGCAGAAGAAGGAAGAGGAGGAAGAGCCATTACCAAGACGGTGGTCAGATAAAAGAAATCTCAGTCCAGGCCGGAAGTGTAACCTGAGGAAACATCTTAGACGAGACCCTCCCTAGTTCTCACAAAGATAAAATGGGGTGGGGTGGGGAGCACGTTCAGACTTGCAAGATTCCACAACTGTAACCTTACCATAAAAGTAGTATTAGCATTCATGACTTGAAATTGTCCTGTTTATGGTTAGAGACGTAATTCTTACTGCAAGAACCACAGAACCAACCTAACTTCTTCCTTCAAAAGAAATGGTTATGATAGCTGCAGCTACGTTTGTAGCTTCCCTGTGGAAAATGGTAGTAGGGGTTGAGGTTAGTTTTATTGCAATTTCAATCTTTATCTGCGTGTTATGCTGGTGAAAGAATGAAACTAGTGTTAATTTAAAAAGTTATCTGATAATTACTTTGTAAAATAGCAGAAATTCGTTAATATTTCGCTTGGGGGAAAGGACTACCTTAGTTCAAACAAACTAAGCTTTTTAAAAAATATTTCTGTTTTGCAGATTGCAGTGAAGACATATTCCGCTGCCACACGGGGAGATGCCTCAATTATACCTTCGTTTGTGACGGTTACGACGACTGCGGTGATCTTAGTGACGAGCAGAATTGTGGTAAATGAAAAATATGATATACAGTGGTACCTTGGGTTATGAATGCCTCTGTTAACGAACTTTTCGGGTTACGAACAGCTCCGGCTGCAAAAATTTACCTTGGTTTGCAAACTCCGCCTCGGGGTACGAGCAGGATACGCGGCCATTTTCCCTCCCGTGACACGGTCCGCGGCCATTTTCCGCCCCTGACACGTGGTCCGCGGCCATTTTTCCGCCCCTGACACATGGTCTGCGGCCATTTTTCCGCCCCTGACATGAGGTCTCCGGCCATTTTCTGCCCCTGACACATGGTCCGCGGCCATTTTTCCCCCCCTGACACGTGGTCCGCAGCCATTTTTCCGCCCCTGACACGTGGTCCGCGGCCATTTTTCCGCCCCTGACACATGGTCTGCGGCCATTTTTCCGCCCCTGACATGAGGTCTCCGGCCATTTTCTGCCCCTGACACATGGTCCGCGGCCATTTTTCCCCCCCTGACACGTGGTCCGCAGCCATTTTTCCGCCCCTGACACGTGGTCCGCGGCCATTTTTCCACCCCTGACACGTGGTCCACAGCCATTTCCCCGCCCCTGACATGTCCACGGCCATTTCCCCGCCCCTGACAT